AATACTCAAGGATATTCAAGATCCTAAAAACTGATGTTCTGAATATTGTTTTTTTTTTTCAAAAAGAATAATAGGTTTGACTCTATTATGCTCTCATTGCTCTAAATTGCATTGACCTATGAAGTTGCATGAAATATTCACACATACACATACTGTATATACTGTACTGTATAAACCATGATGCTGATGTTTGCAAAAAAAATACAATAAAGCAAAACACACAGTAACAACAAAAATATGATGCCAGGAGGATATTACACTGAAACAAGACAAAATGCCTAATGCATCTGCATTTTCCACCTTAACCACTGCGATTCTAACCAATAGTTATATCCAGTGTAGGAGGAGGAGGTGGGAGTTTGCTATTGGACTGTGCTAGTAGAGTATAAGGAACCAATTACTGTCTGTGCTGCTAGCTGTGTGCTGTTCATCAGAGTGAGTTACAGCAGAATATCTCTATCAGCTACAGTATGTGTTTATAGATTGCATTCATCACCCCCTACTGCTAACTAAAGAATGATGTTTTAGCAACTAGAAATTGTGATTCATTCTCTTTAGAAGAGTTGGAGTGTGTTTGTATGCATTTGCATGTTGGTGAGGGAGACTATTTTGTGATAAAGGTTAAAAGCAGCTGGAGGAGTTGCTTCTTAAGGGATGCTTACTGGCTTGGCTTGATCTAAGGAACTAAAGGCAGCTTGGTAGGTAAGTTATTGAGTTATGATTTGCACTCCCGGAAAAATGTATACAGCAAACCGATCTAAAATATGCTTTGCTTTATTATTTTTGAGTAATGGATTGCTTGCTTTCTGTGCTTTTTAAAAGACCCATGGTTCTCATATTGCTTTTGTTCTATGAATGAACTAAAAAGAACCCTAGCAGCGAGTGCTGTTGCTATGCTGTTGCTTACTAGCATGGATTATGTGCTTGTTGAAATTTGCCAATTCTTTCAACATAGTCACATAGAAGTAGTCCTACAATTAATCTTTGTAGGCTGTATGTCAATAAGTGTTATTGTTTCCTAAGTGCTGTTGACTTCAGTGAATGTGAAAGACTTTGCAAAAGTGCCTTATTACTTTATTGTGCAGTAAAAGCAAACTATATTGTTCCCTGCACAAGAGATTCAATATACAGTAGTTTAATGTGAAATGATGTGTAACAAAAATACATGTACAGTTTTTAACCCATTTTTCTTAGTCAAGAAAATTAAAAAGGTATTAAAACATGAAATTTGAATAGATTTAAAATGCTTTTTAACATGTTGACCGAAAAGATTTTTGGAAAAGACTAATTCTGGATTTAGTGGCTAAAAGTGCACCCTTTGATATATCTTTAGCTGCTAAAAAACAAATCAGTCTATTTGAGTACCATAATTGCCAAAGGCAGTGCTCATATTTTTCTTTTTTATTCTGTGTGGGTTTGTTTGCATTATCCACCATTTGACAGTCTTGTATCCAAGCTACCCGCAATCTGTCATTATTCATTCCAAACTATTTGTTCCCTGGCCGTTTCCTTTCCATATGGAATACTAGAGAATGGAGTTTCAATCAATGTTCCCTTTGATTTTGATATAATTTGCACTTATAAAAGAGAATCTAAGCAAAGATACTGATGAATCCTGGATGATTTTGTCACAAATTAACCTTACTAGTTTTGTTCACAGGGATATATTTACAGTGGTTTTATAAAATGCCAAAACTTGCTTTTGTTCACTACTAAATGATATGGCTTGGCAAATCTAAAATTCTGTGATAGGTTGTAAAATAATACATGGAAATGGGGTGTGTCATTGCTCTCTGTGAATTTAGCTTCAAAATAGCGGTCTTAAAAATATCTTGCAGTGACAAGTGATTGAGTCATCAGCCATTCCTTTTACTGTAGCTGTAAATTTAGTCAAGTCATAGGGAGAAATTTAAATCATGTTAAGTCATGTTAACTCGGGTGTGAAGCAATAGTATAAGTTTAGAACTCTTTTGTTATTGTTTGGGTATTTTGTGTGCTGTTATAAATGCACTGTTAGAATTAAATCATATTTTGCTGTTCTGTAAGCCACTTTTCTGAAGGCAGAATAAAATTAGTTATAATTTTAGGCAGAATGCAAATTAGTTATAAACATATTTGAGAAGAATGTTACATAATTAAAAGTAACTCAATGCGTATATAATACATACTGTATAGTGATGGGAGTTGACACATACTGAACAATATTATAGAACTTCATTATAAACATACATAATGTGTCTTGGAACATATTAAGTTAGATGCTCAAGTTAATTATAATACTATTTTAATAATAGTGAGACTAATGTAGAATCACAAATTGTTACACATGAAATATGCATTAGTGCAAAATCACTTGCACTGTCACAATAGTCCAGGGACATATAGTGTATATACAGTACCCATATATGCAAACAGACCTCCTTTGTAATTAAGGAAGAACATTTGTATCTACTTCTTAATCTACCTGTGTAAGGTTATGATCGCGTACACTGTACTTCAAGTAAAAGATTTATGCTTACACTAATAGCTGTTTTCTGTGGGGAGGAGTGTGAATGCAGTTGAGATAGCATAATGTTTTTTTCCTTCTCACCTCAAGCGAAATTAGAACAAAATGTATACATGAGTAAGAAACAAGGATTGTGTTGCTGTTTTAATTGATAATGTTGATTGGGTTATGAGAACTAGGAAACTGCTGTAGGTAATTCTTCCTTCACATCAAATGAACCATCTTTTAAGGATTATGTTAATTAATTAGAAAAAGAGTTTTCATGATCATGCCATGCAAAATGTATTCTATTTGGTCAAAAATGGCTCACAACCCCAAAATATTTTTGATTCTCTATGGAGGCAGGTGAGCTGTTTCTGTCTCATCAATAGCCTCTTTGGCAAAGTTCCTGGTTCATTTAATTAAGTAAAACAAGTGAGGATGGTGTTCAAATCAGCAAATAAACAGCTGAATGCTTTTAGTTATTACATTTAAAATTAATATCAAATTAAATGGGAAAGAAAGGGAAATTTTGCTAAGTAAAACTGAAAAATGTACAGGGAACCAAGTACGTTTAAACAGAACCTCAAACAAACCCACACCATCAACCTAAGGTTTTGTAATTTTCATGTTTTTAGTTTTTCATTTTATCATACAATTGAATTATTTCTCATACTGTCATTCTTTGGTGAACTTGGTACAGTTTTTTTATTTTGACAATATTCCAGTGTATTAATGATTTGAAGTGCTGATTTCAAAGGATATCCAACTACAGTAAATTCATTAGATGGACTGAATATATGATTTGTATGGTACAATAGGTACCATAGTACTTAGCATTTACAGCAATAAAGGAAAGGTACAGCAAAGCAAACTGAAAGGTCTATCATTAATCAAGCACATTGTTCTTGTACAGTACAAAGCAAAATTCTTTGAAGCTCAGCCTTATAAAAACAAGCTTGAAACTCATTTGCTGTAGCAATAATACTGTAGATTGTATCCGTAAAGTAACAAAAGGCTTGTACATCTGTAATGTATAATGAGCTGTAAAAAAGTATAACTATTACTACACTTACCGTTATTCTGATGTCCAATGAATATGGATAATTTTGGAAACGAGCATTCTTCAAAGGGTATAAGAAATTACTTTCTCCATCTCATCAGCTCACAGCTGGATTGTGCGAATGCCTTTCAGAATGAACTAATTACTTTTGATGACTTTTGAATTTGATGGTATGCCCTATGGCATTGGACATACCTAAAGTGGATTCTTATTTGTTTTTTTAATTTTGTATGGCTGTTTAATGAATGCCTCCCACTCTCTCTTCGACATGAATATACATTGAAATGTCTATAATCATGTTCAAAATCATTAGAAAATTAAAAGATTGATGTATTATCTTTTTTATTTTTGTGTTTAATATTTAAAGGGAGGCATTCCTTCTTGTTCTTTCAAAGATGTTTTCTTGAATTAAAAAAATGACTTGAATGAGGCTGCTTGTAATATTGATATTATTCCATATTGTGCTTTGTTTTCTTTCATTCTGGGACCTGTACACTGCCACAGTTTGAATGCTTATAGGATGTCCCTGCTGATAAATGACATTATGTACAGTCTAAGCATCCTAATAGAGTATTTTGCATTACTAAGGTCATAAAGGTTGTTATTTTTACTTTGGGCAATAACACACATACTGTAACCAAGTTGTTTGCAGTTCTGTAGTACTATAAACTATAAAGTAGAATCTATTGGCTGAAAAGCTCTTTTGAGACTTGCCTTGGACAATTGTGTTTTTTTCTAGCTTTTTACCATTCTTATTAAAACACTTCATATCAAGTTGCTTTTTACAGATAATCAATAAATTGAAGTCACTTAGAAGCTAGCTACATGTGCTGGCTGACGTCCATTGATTGTTTTTTATTGTTTTTTCCATGCTGAATTTCTACTAAAGTACAGTATTTTTGCTTAACACAAGACTGAGGCCTGAATACTTTCAACTAGGAGGGAAGGCTTTTCAACATTTCTCTGAATGTTAGGCTTTTGTGTTCTCAGCACTACCGGTAGATTTTCTTTCAGTAATGTCAGTTTATCCCTGCCTTGTGTCTGCATTTCTATGTGACTAGAAGGCTGAAGCATGCAGAGCTGCCCTTTTATCTGATCTTGTAATTAAGAATGATACAACTTAGACGGATTTTCATTGCATCTTCCAAATAAAACACAAATACAGTAACACAGAACAAGTTTAAAAGTCAAGTTTAAAAACTGTTTTTTTTCTGTTTGGAAATCCTACAACAAACACATATTGCTTACTTCCTTTACAATTTGACCTTGGGCTTCCAGAGCTGCTTTTTGACCATGTCATTTGTTGGCCTTGATAGTATTGATTACACACAGAGTGTTGAGTTTCTTGTGCTCTGCATTCTCTGTTTCGCTGCAGATCCTGTTTAAGAACAGCACACTTGTAAATAGAGAATGAAACAGATGTTGAGACCATTTTTATCATGCTTGTTTCAGAATACGGTCGATTTGAAGCAAAAATCCATGATTTACGGGAGCAGATGATGAACCACAGCATGAGCTCAGGATCAGGCTCTCTACGAACCAACCAGAAGCGTTCTCTTTACGTCAGGTAGGAAATTCTGGTTTTCTCAGTGGGCTTATTTATTTCATGCATTTTTAACCTTTTTCGTCTGTGAGTCTGTTTTCCTGGGTTAGTGTGCTCTAGTTTAGATACTGCAGTAGTTTTAGTTTGCAAGGGCTGAAAAAGTCATATACACAGCATTTCTCGCAGGTACAGTATGTACAGCAGTAATGACAGTATTGTACAGATTCATTTTTATTTTTTAGGAAGAGATTTCCATAGGAGCACAGTTCAGTTGCTTTCTGGCATGATTGACATATCTTACCCTCCAGGAAGAACACAATTTCTCCTCCATGAGAATAGGCTTCCATGTCCTCTGGCAGCAGCCCCATTCACTAATAACGCTGACTGGCGTTCATCTGCTACTGTATGTGTGAACATAGTCATCACGAATCACACTCTAAAGGTGTTCACTCAGGAGTCTGCTTTATTCTCTTTGCCTTACTTGTCAGCTAGAATCAGAAATAGCCCTTATTTGCTACAAAAATTTGAAGAAGGGACCATTCCAGTTCATTCAATTCATACAAATACAGCATATGGGGCATTTCGCCTTGAAAATTTAACTCTTCATTGAACAGTTAAATGAAAATCAGCTTTACGTTGTACAACACTGCATAAAAGAAAAGGAAAGATTAGATGTGAAGAGCTCCATCTCTGGATTCAGTTTCCAACATATGTATTTTATTTATTTTTTTTCTATTTCCATCCATGTCTTTATCAATACTTACAGTATTTATCTTTTGTGAATTCATTCTGTAGATAGTGTTTATTTCTCTTAAGGCATTAAAATGATGCTGTGAGTGTCAATTCTTTATTTGGGCATCCATTGATGCTAAGTTATTTTAAGTCATAAGAACATGGCAACATAATTGCTGGTGTTTCATAAAAGAGCAAAATATTGACACCAGTTGGGCATCACAAAAATCAGAGAGACTGAAGAAAAAGGGAATGGTTGTGTTGCAATTAAACACCCTCTGCTTAAATTGTTTCACTAAATCTTCCCGACAGCTATTTTGATTAAATTCATTACATTTGAATTCCCTTTCCTGACTGATACTAGTTAAGCGCTCGCAGGCATCCAGTGTTGATATGACTGAACTGTGAAAGATCTCATTTCCCAGTTTTTAATCTTCTGCATAAAAGGCTCACCTGGTTTGCTATGCAGCTTGTTGTAGACACAGTAAGAGCAATATCAGCTTTTGAGACTTTAAATTGTAAATGCAAATGTTCAGTGTTGTGTGATTCACAAACAGTATTGGAATGTATTGCATTTAATGTACAGTACTGTACTTCTTGGCCCCAATTTATTTATTTTTTGTTTGATAAACAACTGCACACTGTGGTTGTCGCGGAACTTGGTCATCTCAAATTCTTCTGGCAACACTAATTAGAATGAAGAACTATGTATTTCACTAATTGCATTTCTTTGCATTTTATTTTTCTGTTCATTCTTTTCCCTTCTAATGGTATTTGCACTCACATTGTGCTGCTTGTTAGTGATAAAAATAATTTTAAAAATCTGTTTGTGTTGGTTGTGCTTACTTACATATTACTGTTGGTAAATAATACATTGGAATAAATGTTTAATGAATCCCAGAACATTTACTGTATGCATCATGATTTAATACATTCCCATTTAAGATTTAACATCGACTCAGTAGCATTGAACATTTCTTGTTACTGTACATTAGATCAGACAGCTTATAATACAGATTTTTTTGTGTATACCATAGTAAAACAAAATACACTCCAAATACCAAAATAATTATTTTTTATTATTATCACTGCTGCTAATACAGCTACTTCTAAAATGTTATTTACATAATTTATAATGTTAGTATTATAATTTATAAATGCTATATACGCCGTAGTTCTCTGTTAAAATGGCATATAACTTCTAAGGTTCTGAATGAAAACATACACTTTCAAGCATTTGTTTTCAGTTACTGTAGGTACTGTCAGCTTCAGAGCCTTTCATGGCCCTTCCACCAGCAATTGGAAGCAATTTTCACCAAATGCAAGACCTAAAATTGTAGAAAATTGAGCTTTTCTCCTCTCTGTAGTCACTAAATGTCATTAGTAATGCAGTAATGCAATTTCAGATAAGAGCAGAATTCCCCCCCATCTCTTTCAATTGAACTGTCTTTAAAATACATGCCTTAATGTAACACTCACTTCTTTTAATCATCTGGACAACTTAATATCTCTTCAGTTTTCTGAAGACCTTTTAGAGTGTGTTTTTTGAATACCTTTTCTTACCAATTTTTTTTGATTGATGGAAATGTTTTTGTGCTCATTTAGCCAGATCTATTCTAACAAATGGCTCCAACCTAATTATCGGACTTTAATGTTGAATTGAAGCAGCGATGTGATACTGATTTTTTAACTTTTTAGCAAATATTAACTACAGTAACTCTGTGGAGTGACTAATTTTGAGTTCATTTTTTCTGTATCTTTATCTTCAAGATCTGCATATAATATTTATATTTTCCTTGACAATGTTTAGGGCCTTATTTACAAGATTTTATGCTGTTTCTACATAGGCTGAACCTTTTCATAGGCCTAAACCTCATAGGCCTAAACCTCATACCTTTTCATCACTGGATAGGCTACACTGCATACTGTAGTGTAAAAAGCTTTTGTGAATGAAGCTCTTACATTCATTCAAAGAATATTGTTAAACTGGGGAAAAAAAGGTTTTAGTATCTCTAAGAGTTTTTTCAAAGACGAGATCCACTGAGGTGTATATGAAGTGCCCATGTCCAAAACAATTTACTCTGAAGTACACATCAGCACCCAAGACAGCAAATATTTATTCCTTTGCAATTCTGGTCAGTACTGCAGCATCAACCATGGAAATTTACATTTCTTAAACATGCATGCAAATTTTTTAAAAAATGTTCTCAACATTTGTTTCTTTTTCTAATATCATTATGTACAAAAACACTTTAAGAGCTCTCTCTTTAACCTGTGTCTGGACACACCACGTACAACCTCATCATAAAAAAAAACTGCAATGACTCTGGAGACCCTCAATCTTATAATAATACTTAGACTGTGACTGAGAAATGTTTTGCGTATTAAATCAATGTAGTTAAATACAAATTAATTTAAAGCAGATTAAATATATATTTTAAATATATAAAAAATTCAGACGTAACTCAAGCATTGATTTTCATTGTCATAGTGTGTTATTGCTGATTGCAGCCACAGTGGATGTGTGGCTGACTGAAATAATGTGACCTTATCTAGTTAGAATCATTTCAGCTGTGAAGTTTGTATTTTTCTTTGACGCAATAAGTTGTGGTCTTTATATGGGATTTAGAGTCGCAACAAACGCTTGAGAGTAATCAATCGTCCATATTGGCAGAAGAGGAATTCGGGATTTCATAGCTACAATTGTATAGAATAAAAAATGCTAAAAGCAATTTATTTTGCTCAGGGTCTTAATTCTTTTTTTTGGCTTATACATACATGGAGAATTTGGTGTGCTTTTACAAAGTTCCATCTTTTTAACCAAAAATGAATTAAAATTAATTTGCTAAACAAAAAAGCTTAGTAACATCTAACTAACAATCCATTGGTGAACCTGGTAGGGATGAAAATGTATAATGTACTAATGTTATGCAATTGTAATTGAGTACCTGTACTGTAAATTAGGATGTAACATTTAACATACAGTATACTATATATTCACATAAGCAAACCAATTTACTTGTTTTACGTTGTTACAATAGATATTGCAACCTTTCAATGCTTTTAAAACTTCAGCATTATGAGAAATGAAATAACAACTTTCCTAGCAATTGGAGAGTAAAGCTATAAAATAATAGCCCCAAGTAAAGTAATGGTCACAATCCAGGTCAAAAGTGTATATTCACAAGCTGAACACGGTATTTTAAGGCCAAAGGGGAGTCAAATATTTTAAGGAATGCAGAAACTAAAGGTTAAATTTAGATAATAATAATAAATAGCTAAGGTAAGCATTTTGATCCTACATAGAATATTGCTTACATCCCACTTCTCTACAGGCATTATGTATTCCTTATACTGTGTTTTAGGTGTGATGGCAGATATGAGCTACTGCAGGTGTCTTAGAAATCATGCTTTTTCAAGTACCATGCAAAAATCCTGTAATGGCAAATTGAAAAAAAAATCCAAACAGGCTTTACAAAGTAGAAAATGCAATGTATGATGTAGTTTAGCTGGTGTACTATTTGTTGTTAAAATGTTTCACTTTCTTCATTATCTAAAGATAATTCGTAAAACACCAATACTGTTGGTCAACTTTGAATGGGTGTTTTTGTGTGTTTTATAAAATACTGTTTCATCATGACAGCTGTAAAATGTGTTAATTTATTCTTGTACCTCCCTAGCAGTAACAAGCATTTGTACAGAAAGTTACAAGTGTACAGTATGAAACTCAGGTGTGGGATTAACAAACTTATGCCAAAAACATTTTTCTGAAACATTTTATTTTTGAGTTTTTCAGATTGTGCCATTGGTATCAAACAATTACCTCTACTAGGACATGTTGTCTGACATTTGTCCTTCTTTATATAAGCTCATATCAAAGAGCTTAAGTAGGCATGTTCTGTAACATGTCATATTCCATGTATATGTACTGTATACACTTAATAAACGTCATCTATTTTATGCAGTATATTACTATTCAGCTATAGACTAGACTATAGACCTGTACATACTGTATATAAAGTCCATATACAGTACATCAGAAACAGATGAGACCATGATAAATATTTACTAAAGTGATGGAAAGGTTGAAGGGTTGAGAAAGAAATTAACTTTAGATGCTGTTAAGCACTATAGTTTTGTGTGAAACATTGTGGAGGTAATATCTTGATCTATGCATGCATGATCACCTCTTGAACTGGCTCACTTATTGCATCTTCATTGATTATGTAACTAATGAAGATGTTAACATTTTATTTGGTATAAGAAAACACTTCTCTTCTTATTGGAAGGAA